GATGCGTTGTAAATTAAGTAAAACAACAATAGTAGCTGAACACTCTCATCCGTTTGTATAACTGACATGCCACAATGAAAGTGGCACAAACAATATGGCCGTTTTAGGCAGGCAATCTGAACGAAACCCCAAAATCACTGCTAACTTGTATGGTAAGTCACTCACTGCTTCCTTCACTAAGAACTGTAACTAGTGAAAACGTGGCTCGAGGGACAGGGCGCGATCTCTGCTCGTCCGCGCCCTGTAGTACTAAGCCTAGGAGTGGGCAGGAACTTTGGGAAGATGAAAATTGCTATGATCCTGGAGTTCCTCCTCCCCTGCCCGAGGCTTAGTCCCGATTTAGCGAAGAGGAAATGCTTACACAGAAAAACGCAGAGATCGCGCGCGGCGACTGCCCCCCCCCCCCCCTCGAGCCACATTGCGCCGAAAACTGAATCCATTAAGAATCAATTAATGGTTAAATATCTGCAAATCTTTTTAAACACAATCGTGCGTTTCGAATTCCAAAAAGAGACTTATCAATCAAAATACGTGAAAGATTATGGTTCCAATTATGGTGAAGTTTTACAACTCAGATTATTTTTTTTCAATCATTTTGAGGACACATCGAAGTTTCGATTTAAAATATAGCTTTTCGTGCTTTTTCATACCGATCACTAAGCAGTTTTCAACACTGACCTGACGAGCCTCCCTTTCAGCCTTCCAATGTCAGTAGGAACTGATCCCGTTATAAGAACAATAGAAATGCCAACGGTACCCATTTCTTACAAGATTTGTACGAAACATACCAACGAGCTTCCAAAGAAAGACTCATTATTATGCATGCATCAGCAAATTCCCAGGTTGAACACCAACAAATTCTACAGAGGCACGCAACTGAAAACAAGACGTAAAGAACTGACCAAAGCTTCCCTGCTTCGAATTCGAACTGTGAGAAGTAAAACCATCGCCTACTCTAAGCATGTTCAAAAAAAGATAAAAAGTAAAATAATAAATGAAGTGATAAGAAAATAATGCACATCTCATGGAAAAACCAAGAAAATCTTGAAGGATCGAAATTGCGCGCGTAGCTTGATACTCAGGCATTTCCGTGCATGACCACCACGAGGCCATTATCGACTATCCACGCTACTGTATCGACTTCACACGCGTGCGGCTTGCGTGCTCCCCCGTCATTACTGTATGGTACCATACCTTTCCTTAGTTATCCGCGCGGCAATTTGCTTTTTTTGAAACGTTATCGTAATCCTCGATTTTGTACCGTATCATCGTAAACGATGTATGTCTCTTATCGTAGAACCGCTTCCGGTAGTCACTGATCAGTGGAAGACCTATTGGAAATCGATTTGTATACAGCATTTGCCTGATATTACTCATGGGCACATACTGTGAAATATCCTACAAGTTTGGAGCTTTTTGGAAAAGTCCTAGTGCCCCGGGGTGCTCTTTTCAGACTTTCTAATCTGTTGAGGTTTTCCAGAGCGCGAATTTTTATCCCTCAATAGAAGGAAAGTGTGAATCTATTCACGAAATACCACCCAAGACTGTTGCTATCTTAAGACGTATTTTTTTTCGCTCACTACTTCCCTTAAAGTACTTTTCTTATTGTTCAAAAAGGTCTTGCACGCTCTAGAAATCACTTGTCTATTCAAGCGTAGACACTAGATCTATACCGTAATCAGCTCTCATCCTGCCCTCTTAGGCCATGATGAAGGCTCCCTCACAAGGGTTCCTGAATCGTTCTGATAATGTTAGTGAGACTAGATTATGCACTCCGCTGACGTAAATCTTAACATTTTCACCTATCTAATTACCACCTCAAACAAACTGCTCTCTTGATGATAGGAAAACTATTCTAATGAGACTTTGCTTGTTCTGTGCTGTCTCAGCGCGGATAATTGATTCGCTGTTCCATGACATATCCTACTCTTTCATAGATTTCAACCTCTAGCTCCTCATAAAATGCATTAGGAAGTCCACACATTATTATACTCCTCTTTGAAATCGTGGTGGCATTCTGACCTGGCTTACAATTACAATGACTTGAGGGGCAAGCCGTCCAAGTCGGTATATTTGTCCTCTGAGACAGTCTAATATCAATTTTTCACTTCTAGAGGAATCAAAAAGCGGTTGCCGTGGAAGGCGTACGACCCATATTTGATCCATGGATCACATGCGTGGTAAAGGGCGCCACTTGCCTCTAGACCACTTCTGCCCCTGCATACCGAAGCAGATTTTTTATGCGTCATGTACTATCTAATTATAAAAACCTGTTTATTCTGCAAAGACAAGCAGAGAAAGGGCAAAGACAGTACCTCTATCAACCTCTTCACTTATTCGTTAATCTTCAAACCATGTATATTTTTTGTTCTGAAAGAGCGGTACTTTCTCTTTCTGGATAACCCTAGTTTTCGAGAGGTGCCCTCACTTGCTCCTTTCATCAAAATGAGCATCGCTTATTTGAAAAAAAAATCAATTTTGCCGAAGCTTGAGCAGGGAGAGCGGAGGCTTACAATAATGCCATAAGAGGGAGATGACGAATCTTATTAACTGTCGATCTAATGAACGTACCCATTGAAGGAGTGCGGAATGTGTGCCTAGAATGTGACAAAAACCATTGATCTACAGTTGTATAGCACACCTCATTTCGCAGAACAACCTATTCCTCAGCCTACCGTAATCCTTTCTTCGTTGGAATTGTATGCCTTTGTTATTCATTTGGTATCTCCTCGAGTATTACATTTTTTACCTTCATAGATTGCGCAGTTGCGAGAAATCATAGTAGTCTGAGTCAAACCGATGGGAGCTATATGTTACTTTTGAACAGGGTCGCTAATTCAAAGGAGACTGGAGAAACGTCGGGGCAAGATATGCAGATGAGCGGGCAGGTAAAGGCCACACTGAACACAAGGCGGAGAGAAATTGTATCAGTGGCGTGAACCCTCACACCTTTTGTCCTGGTGCTGAACAGAGTAGGATTGCTATACTAGGGGAAATCTTGTGGAAATACAGGTGCTATACACGTAGCGTGGGCACGGCGCATTTTTTGCACAGAAATGTATGTAAGTGGAGACCCACCCCACTTGTATAGAGCCGAAATACATCATGTTTGCTTGTCTCATTGAATTGCCTTTCTGCCATTGATCTACTATCATTTATGGTTTCAACTAGTATAACCACAACGCTTTTTTTCCAGTGGTATTTGTCGCTTTCGACACCGCAAGCGGTAATGGATCTTCCGCACGAGGTGGTGTATCATCACCACCTCCCAGTCGAGACCGAAGAGGACATGCGAATGATGGAGGATCAGGTAGAAGAACACATGGATGATATTGAATATGGGGTGGGATGGTGTTCATTTATTAGTTCCGCTTTTAAAATGTTCTCGGGAAGATTCGAGCTGTTTTCCGACGAAAATCTGGTGAAAACGCCCTGCTTGTTATGTCAGTGTATGATGGGCTGACGAAATGGCAAGTTTGAAAAAAATTCACGTTATTGAACTATTCATACATTGATTTCCACACTAGGCTTGTTTTCATGCGAATTCACTGAAAAACTGTGAAAAATCACCTCCAGCTTCTCGATTTGCACTAACCGCAGCGTCACGTGTTCCAATGATGTTAGCTGCTCCAAGGATCGTTGACTATCTCATTCATCATTGTAAAATTTGTGACTGTAACATGCCGAGAAGTTTAGAAAAGTAGATTCTTAAGTTGTGTTCGCTGTGACTGTATCACTGGATACCTTACCGCAGGGTAACTGGCTCGGTTCAAAAGAAAAATTCACGTATTTTGCGACACCTCCGGATTCTAAGACCTTAATATGATAGGTCCTTCGATCTACATTTCCTTCCTGTATGAAATAGAAATAAGCTGTTGATGTTGACAACTTGCAGATTCCCTTATTTACCGTCACTGTTCTTATTGAGCTCCCCCACTTTCTTCACGATTTGGGGCGCGGCCGCGGCGAGCGCGGACGAGTCGATAGTGCCCGCGAACTGTGGTGGTGGAGCGTTTTCAAATTTACCCACACAGTTCGCGGGCACTATCGACTCGTCCGCGCTCGCCGCGGCCGCGCCCCAAATCGTGAAGAAAGTGGGGGAGCCTTTATGTTGGGACAACTTGCTTAATATCCCCTGCAATGCAGTGCGCATTGCAAGGGATATTAAGCAAGTACCCGCAACGACTATTCTGCGGATAAGAAGAGGTTCGCGGTTTTTCAACGTTTAGTTGTTGGAGATTACTGGTTCAAGAACTTAGATTTAAGTAAAAAGGAAATTCCCAACCCAGGGTCTGTGACCTGGTATTTCGGACAATATGTTCGATGAAAGAGTTAGACTGGTTGTGCTTAATCAAGGGAAGGGGCATGCTCTGAGTAATGGGTACTCCCACATGATCACAAGTACCTGCTCCAATCGCTTTGGGCTCCTCTGATTGGATTCATGTGCTTTGTTACAGGGCGACGTTGGTATGGAAGGCAGTTTGAGTGAACCACGAGCCGTGCATCAGTGCAATATCTGTAACAAGATTTTCGTTTCATTCAAAGGTTCGTACAAATTAATCTGAAGTTCTCTTGTTTATACATTTTTACCTTGCAAAATTGGTTCAGGTTTACAACAACATGCGGTTATTCACACTGATCAGAAGCCATATCAGTGTGATATCTGTGGAAAGTCCTTTAGATTCAAATCGAATCTTTTTGAACATCGATCAGTACATACGGGATTCACTCCACATTCTTGTCCATATTGCGGGAAAACTTGCAGGTATATCGTTTTCTATATTTTCAGCATATGCCATACTCGGAATCACTGCGAAAGCACTTTTTGTGTGTGTTTTCCATGTCTTTTTTGAGTAGGAGTTTTTTTGTGGCTACCTATGTTTCACCACCGCACGGGTGACACTCTACACGGGTTCATCTGGAGAAGGGAATATTCGGAACTTGATGAGTTCATGCTGTGCTTTGTGTTCGCCTTTTCTTGAAAAGAAGAAGTAGGATGAAACTTCGTGCTTACTTTGGTCATCACTGGCCAGCCATCCTAGCAACGCGCTGAGGGCATCATTGTTTCCTCATTCGTTATGGAGTTCTTTATGTACGGGGAACAAAGTGTTGAATCGATACGTTTAGAGTGCGGTGCATGATTAGCTGTTGTAGGTAAGTGTTGATTTCGGTTCAAGCGGGGGAGTAGAACAGGAGAACGTTTTGCTGAACACATAGTTACCAACTCGGTCTCCAACATAATATGTTGGGTCATGGCTATCGTTTTTCACTTCGGTCAATTCAGTGTTGTTTTGACCCAAGTCTTGATCTTCATGTGGAAATTCAAGAAGTATGGTCGCACAGTGTTTTCAGCTTGAAGGAAAGTAACATAAAGTTTGCGTACTTTCACCTTTTCGCATTTGTAGCTTAGCACGATTTTTTGTAAACAGCTATTGTTCAAAACTTCAGTTTTTCGAACCGTTGTGGGTGTTATGAAACAACCTATGGAAATTTGGGGGCAAGCAAAAACAGAAACATCAGACATCGCTGGTCCCAAACCATCGTTACATGGCAAGCAAAACTGTAGCACGGCGTATCGCGTGAAATACTGAGACGATTCACTATGCCAAGTGTTGAACCTGGTGTCTATTATAAGAATGTGATAGCGCGCGCAAGAAGCTTCTGCTTTCTACCAATCGTGGCGTTTTCACGCGTGGCTTTACAAAAAAGTTTCATTCATATCCGTCTTCAAACAATGATGAGTACTATTAATTTCAGATTGAAGGGTAATCTCAAGAAGCATTTAAAAACTCATGTCACTTCGAAGGATGAACTGGAAAGAGCATGGAGACCATTTGCTTGGTTAGTTATGTTTTGTTTCTTCCTGCTGTTGATTTGGTCTTGATAATAAGTAGTTCGCAGTGGTGCAGTCGTTTGGTGTCAAACATAAGCTAGAGAGATTTCTGCCACAAAAAAGAAGTAATTAACGATTTCCAGTCTCAGCATTTTTGTCTAGCGCCTTCACTGTCGCTGAAATTATAGGAAATTCAATAGAGTCACTCGAAAAGAATATTTAGAAAGTATAGATGCTTGACGATTCGGGCTCCTCTTAGAAATTTTTTAGTTCCTTCGGCCTTTATGATAGTGAAACCATAGTTTCGCGGACGCCCTTCAGCTTATTATTACAGTAATCGACGCCCAGCAGCCGACATACCTGACGATGCAATCATTGTTCGTGGTACAGGTGATCCATTCTTCACACCTCCCTCCCGTCCTCGTAAACGGTTCGTCTGTTTTACAGAAATACATTTTGCCAAAATTTTCCTAAATTACAGTACAACTACAAAAAAAAACCTGATATTTTCAGGAAGTTGGGGTTGGGTCCAGATCCTTCCGCGTGGATAGACAAAATTCGACGCGGGGAAATCTTGCCAGGCACTAGTATTCAAACGAAGGTTGGTCTTGAACAAATGCAAGTGTGGTGTATTAGAACAGGCAATTATAAAAAAAATTCGTTTTAGATGATGAGGTTAGAGACGGTGCTCAAAAATACCGAGTTTTCTTTGGAAGAGATTTTTGAGCAGGCACGAACGATTGCTTTTGAGAAGTTCGTATTTTCTTATTCCCGTCATATGTGCCATACTTATTGCCCGTATTTTGCATACTGAAGCGACCTAACAAGATTTCCCTTCCAGATTCGACTGTCCTATGTGTAGGTCGCAGTTCTTCTCAAGAGCAGAATGCTACGATCATTTGGAAATTGAACATCCAATGGCACGAATAGAAAGGCCATTGTTCTGTGAGGTAATGTAGCGTTAAGAGTGTTTTAGATAGTCTGCCATCTAATAGTGACCTTTTTAGATTTGCCTGAAAGTTTTTGCTGACCGAAAATCGTTGGAACAACATGAAAGTTACCATAAGCGAGTACATCTCATGATAGATAACAACGAAATCGAGGTAAAAACTGTTTCTTCATAGCACCTACAGCTTACTATTATATTTTGTTTCGCTGTTTTTTTGCTTGTTGTTTGATCATATTGTTTCTTTTTCTCGAGTAGGTCATAGTCAGCAGAATGTAAATGATTGCTTGCTATGATCTATGATGACGCGTTGCTTAGCAGTTTCTTTACCGTAAGTCGCTAAGACACGAAAAAACAACTTGTAACTACAACCTCTCTGTCATAACAAAGTTTATAGCATTGGCTTAGCAACAATAATAGTTGATATTCTGATGAAAAACAAAGAGGGGATGACAGAAAGTTAGCTGTAATCCGGGGTTACGCTAGTCTTTATAACAAACACTATTAGCTGTCATCACAAGAATGCTGAGTTATGGGCAAAACTTCGCCCCAGGGAATTCGTACCCGCATCATCACTTACTTTCCTTATTAGGTACCTGTTACACCACCGAGGCACATTTACACCCCAATTCAACTTCGTTGGTAAAGCTACCACAGCTTGTCAGCATTCGCGTATAACGTAATCATCCAAAATAGCAAATATCAGCGGTGTTTTAACTGATGTTCATTCACTATTGTAAGGGAAATTTTCGAAAAGAATACGATGAGGATAGCTTCAAATTTATAATTTTCATGAGTTCGTGGATGTGACACATTTATATGACAGGTACATAGGTTTATGTGACAGGTAGGATTATTATAGGTATTTTTACGAGTTTCCATAGTTCCCGTTATCCGAATGTTTTATGATTACCGATCTCTTCTGTTTTAGTTCACCGATCCAGAAATCTTATTGCCAGAATCATGTGACTTTGATGAGGAAGATTTACAAGGAGTCCCAGTGATACATTAGTTACTCATTTGCGCGTATCGCCTTTGTGCTCCGCTGGAATACATTGTATTGATTGAATCAGGTGTTCAGCAATTATTCGTTGCTAGTCAGTTTGTAACGAGTGATTTGTGTACTACTATTTGCCATAGTCTACGAAGTGAAATAATATTATTAGTGTTCTTTTCTATTTTTTGGTTATTGTTCAATGCTTTTCTTAACGTTGCTTTATTCTTGTTATTCTTCACTCAGAAGTGCATCTATTTTGAACGAGAAAGAGATAGAGAAGGAAACTTCTTCTTTATTTCTCGTTTTTTTTGTTTCTTGTTTTGTGTTCATACCGTCCTTGACGTTAATTTGCAGGATGGCTCCGTTGTCATTCTGTGCATTGAGAAGATGTTCGCATTGCGATCTTACCGTTATAAATGGATAAATTTCTTTGTTGGGATGATAGTACGGCATGGCGGTATGGCACATTCACCTAAAAGTTTCAGGCTGTCACGCTACCATACATAATGTACAGCAGCGGTCAAAAGTGTTCGCCGAGCCGAAACGTGCTCCTTTTTTTATCAGAAAAAATCAGCTGTGGCCTCGAAACTTTTTTGTTTAGAGTACCCTGATTCCTAGGATATAAAAACACAGAAAACATAGTATATCAATCTTTGGAGGGGGTTGCTCAAGCGAGAAAAAATGCTCTCAAAATCGTTTCGGCGTACAATTTTGCCCGTACTGTATATGTAAGGGCTAGGACTGCCTGATCCCTCATCTCAGCAGACCGCGTTCTGCGGTGGCCTAGATTGTTTTCGAGACAGTCTTATTGACACCGCTGCTGGGCAGCGAGGACCAGTCTAATCCCAAGCTTCTTCCTCATAAGTCTGGATGTCATGAAGAAGAAATATGTAGTGGGGTGAGCCGTAGAAGTCATCTTCAACATTCACGTGATCGTCCTAATAGCGAGGAAGAGCCTCAGGACAAAACGCTCGCACACCATTTACTCCCGTAAAAATAATGCACAGAAAACTATGATTTTACCCCCTCCCATCCTTGGATGGTTACCGTGAGCGTGATTTCTTATAAAAATATTGATAGAACTGTTCTTGTTTTGGTTAACATTTTGGAAAACTAGGAAAAAAAGTGTTACTCCTTCAAATTGCCGCCGCGCATCTGTCACAAATACTGGCGCCGAGAGTGCTTCGGCTTGGCTCTTGAAATACCGTTATTAGGGAAATTTTTGGCCTTCTCACTCATCTGCAGCTCAGTTCACTCCTCTGTTGCACCATAATCGGTCGATCGCTATGTCTACTACCCGAATTCTATTCTTACCAGGAAGGTCTTTCAGGGCGTGCCAAGCTTTTTGAAAACGGTCTTTTGCATGATATAGGGGCACATGCGGGAACCACAGAACCATGGTTCAATTTTTCCTGAACGGCCCTCTGAATACCAGAAAAGGGGTCCCTAGTTCGATTCCTCGTGGTGACAAATTTTTGCATTTCGAGTTGACGTTTCCAAAATTCGCGCAAAATGGAGTTAGCATGAATAATTAGTACCATATTCATGATTAGGACCGTCAGTAACCCTTACAAATAGACTTTGATTAAAAACTGGTGAAAAAGGTGTGACACCACAGTGGGGCTGCTTGGTGTCACACCTCTTACACCAATTTTTAAGTCAAAGTCTTTTGTAAGTGTTACTAACGGCCGCTTGCCTTTAAAGCGCTGGAAGGATACGACCGGACTTTGCGCTCACGCTCTCCCCTTTGGTTTGCGTCCATGCGCCTGGACGTAGTTTAAGTTTTGCGTGTTTGATTCTAGAGTCTAATTCCCGGAATTCTCACTTTCGTCACCTTCTGTGCCTTGCTGTCTTAGATTTTTTTTGGTTTTTATTATTGTCAGTGGTCTTCTTTGGTCCGTTGGATGATTTTATTCGATTAAATGGTCATTATCGTTTATTACCCAAGTTTGAGGTGCTTGCGCCGTGCGCCAATAAATTGTGGAGCATTCGAAGTGTGGTTACTTGTTACTTTGTGGTACCGGTCTGTGAACCTATCATTCATCACCGCGTGGCACGGACTACTCTTTATAAACAGAGAACGCTGCAACGGCGCGGAATTGACGTAGGGAGAAGAAGAAAAGGAACTACGGTCGTAGCCTTCTCTAGATCCAATCATCAAATCCGCCTATGGTGTTGGACACTCTTGAGGCAGCAGCATATCTCATTGGGAACTGTATAACCGTCTGTTTGAAAAGCCAAACTCAGATTCATGCCGGAAAGAATTCGTATTCCGTGAACAAGGCCAGACATTTACTCAAACCGGGAAAGTTTTCCAAGCTCACGAGTCGAACAAGGCCGTTAGTCTCTGATTGCAGTTTTCGTTAGATTTTTTTTCCAAATGAAGGGAACTGCTGTCAGCACTATAGTCTACCTTATAAAATGAATACAAACTTTCAATGAATCGGTACCTTCAAGAAGGTGGTCAGCTGTACTACAAGTGAAAAAAGGGAAGCCACTCACTGAAACCTAACACTCAGAGCAAATTCAATCTTCATACAGAACTAATGCAGCATCTGATGAGGCAACAAAGTTTGACACCTTACTTCGGTAGTGTCTGTCTGTCTGTCCGTCTGTCACGAAATTCGGTATTAAGCGAACAACAACCTACAGGGTCCAGGTCAAGTTTGGGATGGGTGTACCATATCTCGAGAAGTAAAAAACATACGGTACTCGCCGTAAAAACTGCAAAATTCACGCGAAAAACGCATTTTTTTCGTTTTTTTGTTTTTTCGTTATAACTCGGTTTAAAATTAAGATTTTCAAAATCTGAAAACAGCCTTGAACTCAGCTCGTCGAGTTCTATAAGAATCCGTCCTAAAGTTTTCTAGCGGCACTACACTGGATTGCGCCATGCACTCGATCTCAAAAAGTAGTTGCTCGCATGTGATGTGTATATAATCCCGCTTATGCGGGCTGAACCGCTACACACAAAGAAGGGCCTCAAAACTTACCCCAGAATGCGCCACGTACTCAATCTCATCCACTACATTGTGAGATTAGATGAATGTTATTTTCCGAATTCTTAGATCTTCATTTCGTTTTTAAGCGCTTACTGGCTTTACGTGTTCCCTCTGCTCTCAATATCCCATCCTCAAATCTTTGAACAGTTCTCAGCAGGCATAGTGGGCCTATTATGTGACATTTTCCATTTTCAGAGGAGATGTTTTGCAGAAAGCTGTGAAGATAGCGAACAATTTCCTTCACTGTCGTAGACTATGGTCACTTGTCTGTAGGAATTATGTGGAAAACTCGGTCGCAAGTGAGCGTTCCTTCCGTGGTGTGGCCCCAAACATGCCTCCTCGTCATGCCCTTGTGGAAAGTTCAGATTTTTTGCATTTCCAGATGAACTCGCAGACCTGAAATGTGCCCCGTTAGCTTCCCCGTGAAAAATGCTATCGAATGATATGCATTACTTCCCCAGTTGAAACTTTGGTTTTTCACCGTTTTCAGCCTTCCCCTATTGCCGGATTGGGCACTATCCCACGATTACTGCCCCAAAATCTCAAAGTTTCATTTTTCGTCGAAACTTTGTCTATTGGGGTAATTCGATGCCCTGATTACGAATATGACATTCATTTTTGATGCTGGCGCCATTTGGCGCCACGGCTGTTTTCACCAAATCTGCTGAAACTTCGTCATTTGGGGTTATTTGGGGTCCTGATTACGAAAACGACACCCGTTTTTAGCGCTGGCGCCATTTGGCGCCGTTTGGCGCCACACGGCTGTTTCCACCAAATCCGCTGAAAACGTGTGTATAGGGGTTATTTGGGGTCCTGATCACGAATATAACATCCAGTCTTGACGCCGGCGCCATGTGGTGTCACAAACAACACTTCACAGTCAGAGCGTACTCTTAGGCACCTTTCTCAGAGCGCCGACTGTCAGACCGTGGAAAAGGTCATCGAATCGGAGACTTTCCCACGACAGGAAGGAGCCAGAAGCATGTTTCACGTTTTCGACAACGGAGAATAACGATGGCTCTTGCTACTCTTTAGCGACACAATCGTCAATGAGAGCTACTGGGCTTAGCCTTGAAGGACGTGTACGAGACGCTCAAGTTGAATAATCTGCACTTACTGGTTGCGATCCATGGGGTTGATGTCTGTGCCACTATGCCATTCATGTCAACGATCCATGAGCCTGATCAACGACGAACGGCACAACGGCTGGATTTGCAATCGTCGAGCGTGCCGCACTGGACCGTCGAACGAGACCAGGGTCTACGTTCATGCCCGAAAGGATTCCTTTTTCGAGAACTGTAACTTTCCTGAGTCCACGGTGTTCGCACTGCCCTATTTCTGGCTGCGCGACATGGGCAAGGTGAAGGACAAGGAATACGAGCTCAACGTCGGCCACACCAGTTCAATTCAGTGGGAGCGGTTCTTCCGCGACGAATGTGTGGGGCACTTCAGGAGGAACCCGCCGATCATCGGAAGGTTCGGGTGCGAGATGGAAATTGACGAAACACTGGTTATCAAACGCAAATACAACCGCCGACGTTGGGTACGCAGGCACAAGTGGCTGTTTGGAGGCATTGAAAGAGGAAGTGGACTCCTTCGGATGGTCCGAAGGAAAGACGTTTCAACTCTACTGCGGCTCATCATGAAGTAGTACATCGAGCCCGGTACTACCATCCTCAGTGACAGCTGGAGAGCTTACAGTCGAATTGCTGCTCTGCCCAACGCATACAGGCATCTCCAGGTCAACCATGAGCTGAACTTCGTGAAGTCTGGCGCTCACACTCAAAAGTCGAGTCATTGTGGCAGAAATACAAGGAAATGATCAAGCGGCGTTATGGAATCAACAACTTCCGCTATGAAGGCTATCTGTGCGAGTTTCTGTGGAAAAAAACAATTTGGAGGCCAACGCGAGGCAGTGTTCAATTTTAGGTCAAGTCGCGACCTACCCCTGCTAAGCCTCCGTATACTAAAGCAATGGCCCTCTTTAGGGCTATAGGCACACGGCGGCGCAGC